GAAGCACCACGCTAGAACAAGAATAGGACATACCTAACCAACAAAAGAATCCTGGAAAATTAAAGAAAACAAATAATTCGAACGACTTCATCTGAAATTGTAAGAACCTCTAGAATCTCCAATGGCACAACACCCCGTGGAACACCACAGGTGAGTTAACTGTTCACCTCAAAACAGAGTAAGTCTCTAATAATTATTTTCCCCAATTTTCAGGACCTGTTCATTGGATCAGAGAACGAAGCCGAAGCTAAAATCATCACTTCCTACAGGTATGCTGAGTCTCAAGAAAAATAATCTGAATACTTATTAATATCTTTAAATGAAATCAGCTGTGTATTTTAGATGATCTGATTTATCAAGGACTATCAAATGACTGAGTGTTCTCTGTAGGTATGTACCTTTTTCATGTGAATATTTATATACACTAGCTAAAAATAAACTACTCATAAAGATAATAAACTGAAACTAATTGTAGCAATTTCAAATGCTACACTCTCATCAATCACCGAACATCTTCTGGAACAGTTCGATTTGATTCAAAACGTTCAGGGGAGTACCCAGCAAGCAACCGGTTATTTTTGAAATTCACTCTGTTGGTTTATGCTAATCATTCTCAATTATTCAAAAGGAATCACTGAACATGAAGGAAAATTACAATACTTACCATACTTTGGCATGTCTCTGAATTCCAGAAGAACTAATGAAAATGCTTGAAACCATATTTATTAAAATCAATACAACATACAATGGGAGGTGTCGTGAGACAGATGTTGAATTCATATAGTGTTTAGTTTTTATTGAAAATGGCTGACGTATCTCGAAGTCAGTATTGAAACACTATTATCAAAAAATCAAAACTCCATATTTCGCAAACGGAGAATTTTCGGACAAACGCTTGCATGAAATGGATCCATATTATCTGCTGAATGGAAACTTCCCTAGGGATTTGTTATAAGTAATACCACAAGTGATACTATTTCACCGAAAATATAAGGCGATTGTTAAGACAGCTTGTTACCTAATAATTTCGCGAATGACATATTGTTTATTGAAACAAAAGTTTTGAATCAATGTAATGAGCAAAAATGAAGCAGCAAGCTGGAGTATGTCAATCGACAGATATTTCTAGGGAATGATAATGGGTATCACGAGTTGTAATCGTATGACTATTCCATTATGGAGACGATAAACGAGCGCCTGGCGAGAGTTGCACACACTGCATCCATGATTTTGGCTCCCAAAATTATTAACGAATCGAATGTGAAAAATTTTATCGCTAAAAAACGAGGTTAATTGGTCACGTGTGAGTCGATTCGGCTTCTGTATTGGTAGAGCAAGTCCGATAAAATTCAGTCAACAAAACTTATCACTTTAATACAGAAAAAACCGTGAAAATGGTCGATTCTGAATTGTTTTTCGAAACAAGATTGGAATAGTCAAAAATACCTCTGTTTGGGTGGTTATTTATCAAAAATATATGCGTAAATTCATACTTGCGCCACATGATATATAATATAGAATATCCTCGGGAATATCCCAATGCCCATAAGAATCTATTTTAGAGCTATTGCAAATTCCTCAAGAGGTATATCTGAAAATTAGAAACATGTTTCAAGTAATTTTACGACATAAACAAAGACAAATCGATAAAATGAACAATGTGTAAATTCTTCAGTTGTATACATGATTTACTGTAGTGTATTTCATCGACCTAAAACATCATCACAAATTGTAAGATTCTATATCCTGTCAATTATCTTGAATCTGGCCCTGAGTTCTTTTCCAAAATGGCGTAGTTGATGTCAGATATCTATTTTCCATCAAATCAAGAGAACCGACAAGAGTTGGTAAGCTGTTTGTTCGATAAGCTGTGCCTCTACCCTGTTCTCTTGGCTTAATAAGATGGAATTTCGCAATTTCTGTTCTCTCATTTCATGTTGACAAAATCTTCATCTGATCTTGACTTTCGGATCACCTCATATATATTCCATTTTTACTTGGTGGATAAATGTCTTCATTCTAAAAATTATACCGGATAGCTGAATTTTGTAGATTTTCTGATTTCTGAAGAGAGCTACAAAAAAATAGTAGTTAAAAAAACTAGAGAAACATACTTCTATAGATAGCCAAACTGAAAAGAAATCGAAAATAAAATATTGAAAGTGTTTTGAAAATACACAACATAGAAAATATTAGCATCCCCGTGATCAGTACATTCTATATCAATCTTTGGAAGGAGTCCATGGTAACTCAAAGTGGAGTGGTGTAGTTCATTGATGAAAACCCAGAGTCATCTTCACAACATTCATCAGAATGATCAAAGATCGATCGTAAAGGATCATGTCTTTGAGGGAGAAGGCGCTTGTAGAATTAGACCCAAATTGCCCGGCTGGCATTGTTTAATCTTCAGAAGAAGTCTATGATAACTCAAAGAGGACTGGTGTAGTTCATAGATGAGAAGCCAAAGTCATCTCCACATTTATTAGAATGATCAAAGATCAATCGCGAAGGAGCATGTCCTTGAAGGAGAAAGCGCTTGTAGAATTTGACCTAAATGGCCGCCCGACTGGCATTTTGTTTAATTTTTGGAAGAAGTCCATCGTAACTCAAAGTGGAGTGGTGTAGTTCATAGAAAGAAACCCAAAGTCATCTCCACATTTATTGGAATGATCAAAGATCAATCGCGAAGGAGCATGTCTTTGAAGAAGAAAGCGCTTGTAGAATTTGACCTGAATGGCCGCCCGACTGGCATTTTGTTTAATTTTTGGAAGAAGTCCATCGTAATTCAAAGTGGAGTGGTGTAGTTCATAGATAGAAACCCAAAGTCATCTCCACATTTATTAGAATGATCAAAGATCAATCGTGAAGGAACATATCTTTGAAGGAGAAAGCGCTTGTTGAATTTGACCTAAATGGCCCGACTGGCATTGTTCAATCTTTGGAAGAAGTCCATGGTTACTCAAAGTGAAGTGGTGTAGTTCATAGATGAAAACCAAAAGTCATCTTCTCAGAGTCTCAGAAAGCGCTCGTAGAATTTGTCCTAAATTACCTGACTGGCATCGTTTAATCTTTATAAGAAGTCCATCGTGACTCAAAGTGGAGTGATTCAGTTCATAGATGAAAACCCAAAGTCATCTCCACAACATTTATTAGAATGATCAAAGATCAAGCGCGAAGGAGCATGTCTTTGAAGAAGAAAGCGCTTGTAGAATTTGACCTAGATGGCCTGACTGGCATTGTTTAATCTTTGAAAAAAGTCCATCGTAACTCAAAGTAGAGTGGTGTAGTTCAACGATGGAAACCCAAAGTCATCTCCACAACATTATTATTAGAATGATCAAAGATCAATCGTGAAGGAACATGACTTCGAAGGAGAAAACGCTTGCAGAATTTGACCTAAATGGCCCGGCTGGCATTGTTCAATCTTTGGAAGAAGTCCATGGTTACTCGAAAGTGAAGTGGTGTAGTTCATAGATGAAAACCCAGAGTCATCTTCTCAGAGTCTCAGAAAGCGCTCGTAGAATTTGTCCTAAATTACCCGACTGGCATTGTTTAATCTTTGTGAGAAGTCCATCGTAACTCAAAGTGGAGTGGTGTAGTTCATTGATGAAAACCCATAGTCATCTCCACAACATTCATTGAAATGATCAAAGATCGATCGTAAAGGATCATGTCTTTGAAGGAGAAGGCGCTTGTAGAATCAGATAAATTGCCCGGCTGGCATTGTTTAATCTTTGGAAGAAGTCTATGATAAATCGAAGTGGACTGGTGTAGTTCATAGATGAGGAGCCAAAGTCATCTTCACAACATTTCATTAGAATGGTCAAAGATCAATCGCGAAGGAGCATGTCGGGCAATTTGGGTCCAATTCTACAAGCGCCTTCTTCTTCAAAGACATGCTCCTTCACGATTGATCTTCGATCATTCTAATAAATGTTGTGGGGATGACTTTGAGTTTCCATTTATGAACTACACCACTTCACTTTGAGTTACCATGGACTCGTTCCAAAGATTAAACAATGTCAGTCGGGCAATTTGATTCTAATTCTACAAATACTTTCTTCGTCAAAGACATGTTCTTTCACGATTGATCTTCGATCATTCTAATAAATGTTGTGGGAATGACTTTGGGTTTTCATCTATGAACTACACCACTTCACTTTGAGTTACCATGGACTTCTTCCAAAGATCAAACAATCCCAGTCGAGCAATTTGGGTCCAATTCCACAAGCGCCTTCTCCTTCAAAGATATGTTCCTTTTACGTTTGATCTCTGATCATTCTGATGAATGTTGTGGAGATGACTTTGGATTTTCATCAATGAACTACACCACTCCACTTTGAGTTACGATGGACTTCTCACAAAGATTAAACAATGCCAGTCGAGTAATTTGGGACAAATTCTACGAGCGCTTTCTGAGACTCTGAGAAGATGACTCTGGGTTTTCATCAGCCTGCCACTGCGCATATGGTAGTGAGTACATTACTAGCCTACAAAACACAGCTGAAAAACTCTGAAAAGAGAGCTGATGGGCGGTGCCTGAAAAGGATGTTAGCCAGCTCTCTTGTGCGAACCACATCAGTCATTGAAAACACTTGGGGTTTGCAAAAAGGCCCCATTGGGGACTAGTTGCTGACGTGGAAACGTCCCCCACCAGTACCAGTACCAGTTGGGTTTTTATCTATGGACATCGCATATCGTGTATTCATCAACACACTTTCATTATTTCATTTTCTACTTCTTTCCAGTTTGACTATCTATGAAAGAGTGTTTCTTTGGTTTTTCGAACTACTATTTATTTTCTATTTCTTAGTTCGGATGACTACAAAAGCGTATATTTTATTCAGCCAAAAATTTTTGTAAGTACCCAATTTTGACGGAAATGATATTGATATTCATGAGTTCTTAAGTCAGAGTTGTGTGGGCTATAATTATTCAAAATCGCACGAAAGTTTTGAGTACCAGTTTCGACTACATTATATTGAGGGAAAAATGAAATTGTGTCGATGTAGGTATCGTGTATTTTCCGTTCACATATCTGGAACTACTTGTAGGAGAAATTATATACATCACAAGAGGAAGTATTTATCAAAATTAAAACTTAATACTGCGAGAGTTGCTGCGGCCTGAACTGTGGTTGATATTGTGGTTTGGGTCTAGGAGCAGGTTGCTTGGATGGTATCCTTGTGTCAAGGTCTTCTTCGTCTTCGTCTAGTTCTTCTCGTTGATTGGGATCACATTTGTTACCGGCCTCGTATTGGAAATCTCTGCAAAGAAATTATTTCGATACTGGGTGATTCACATTGTTATTTATATTCCAAACTCTGATGAAGAATAAGTTTGTACACACTATAGTCCAGTTCACGCCACATTCTTCTTTATATTGATTTCTCAATTAATTGATATTGTTCGGTACAATCAAACTTGAACATGATTAGATTCGACACTAAGGTATACTCTTGGTTGAACTTGATACTGTGTGCCATTTTTGGAGTATTCTGATTCGAAAATAATGAAGTAATCAATGATGCTGATGGCATGAAGTGAGTATCAATAACAATTACCAATATATTCAAAACCAAAACCATAACATTATTGATTATTATGATGCTGAAATTATTGATCACGAGAAGTGAACCAAGACTACAATCATAAAAAATTCAAACAGTTAGAGTTATTATACGTGTTCGATATGTCTTCGAGTTTCACGAATACACAAATATCAAAGTGATGTTCAATTCGGTCTTGCAACTCTTGATGTAAATTCATCTCTGTATCATATATAGACTCGTTTCTCAAGATATGATCAAATTGTATAATCGATATCTTCATTCAAATTGATTTTAATTTTATTCTTGTGATAGTTCAGTCACCAAATCTAATATTGAAATAATGTTATTGTCAGTTTCCAATAAATGAGTAGGTAGTTGTTTTCTTATAATACTTACTTCATACCAGCATGCACATATTCATACAACATTTTATGTGTTATCACCAGTAGTTTCGACATAGTCGTGAAACATGTGCATACCATTTTTTTTTCAACAGCAATACGGATGACGTTACGTTTTTTTTTTCAAAGAGCCAACCCAATTTATTCTGCAATATTATACCTTTCCTAGCGCAACGGGGTCACCTCTTCTTGGAACAACCTGTATGTAAGTTTTTCAACAAACTTCCGAGCACTATACAGAACATGAGTCTCAGAAAATACAAACAGACAAGAAAATACTGCTGAAGAAAGCATATATTATTCAGTAAGATGAATTCCTCACTGACTCGTTAAAGTGAATCAGTTATAACAACAATTTAGGATCACCCTCTTTCCGCTACTTGAAGAAACCCAGAAGAAATTGTAGAAGGGTAAAAAGCACCCTCATCCTCAGACATTTCTCCAAAACATTCTTGGGGGTGGTAATACGGTTCTTGAATCTCTGTTTCTTTTGTCACCCTTGTAAATATTTTGCATTCCGCATAGTTCCGAAAGAAATAATATTTTCTCAAATAATGCTAACAGATATTCCTAGTGTTGGTTCAATATCATTATAATGGAAAATTCAGTTGACAGTGGGAACAAAGGCAGAACGATTTTTTTTTAATGATCAATGTTGATCCGTTTGTTTCCACTGACAAATGATTTTCATTAAAATTTTATCAATCTTCGATCAGGAATATCTGATAGCATTATTTGAGAAACATTTTTGTCCTTCGGAACTATGCGAGATATAAAATTCGAGAAATAATAAATTAAAAAAAGATATAAAATATAAAAATAAAAAAAATTACAGGAGTAACAAAATTGAGATAGTTAATCAGTCATCTAGCTCGAAAAAATTGAGAACCCTATCACCACCCCTAAGAATATTCGGAAAAAAATGTCAGTGGGTGAGGGTGGTTTGAACCCTTCAACAATTTCTTTCAGGTTTCTTCGATCAATGAAAAAGGGTTAACCACTGGAATGCACTTTTGCCAAAGAAAGCGCACAGAAATATATTTTATTATATTAACTTTGAACTCGTCTGAGAGACAAACGGTAAATTTTTTTATATAAATAAGTTGAGTCCAATCATCTCATTTTGAACTGTATTACACGTGGTAGCTCTGTGTACCTTCAATTTCGAGACACCTTGTATGTCTTCAAATTTTCATATTCAACTGACTACCTCCTTTTGAGTAAGTATATTGTCAATATGTATGTGAAATGCAAACATGTATATCCATTTAAGAGATGGCTGCTGTTACAAGTACAAATGAATTATTTTGAATTTTAAATCATATGAATTTGAATTTATTGATTTCGATATCGCGTCGCCCCAGTTTCAAATAGTCTATCCGAAAGTTCCATGCTCACCTTCTTACTCCATCTGGATCAACATAACCATATTTTCCTTTGATAACGCAATCTATTCCCAAAGTTTCCTCCTTGAAGGTGCCGTCGTCATTTTCGAATCCCCATGTTATGCTGCCATCTTCGTTGTCGGTTCTGTATTTCCTCAAAATCTGGACGACGGGTTTTTTCCTCCTGCTGAACTCATCATCTTCGATATGCTGAGGTCTTGGAGCAGGTCTTTGAGCTGGGGCTTGTCTGAACTGTTGGGGCGGGTTCTGTCTGACCTGATTATAAATTTGATTATTGTAGTAGGCCATGCCGGAAATGAGATTATTTTTGCATAGAACGAATAATTTGCTGGAGAATCTCTCGAATATTTTTTATATGGAACTAATAGCGTATATCCAGAAAAACACCGGCGAATTTACTGGTATACTTGGTATGCTCAAGAGCATAGGGTCCCGACCTTTGCCGGGCATTGTATCATTACTATTCCATATCTTTTGTTCGCATATATTATATGAAATAATGCCAAAAATCAATTTCAAAATGTTGAAAATGATACACAGAAGGTTGTAACGAAGTTACTAGAATTCTGATTCAGATAGCATACGCCTGTATAACTAACGAGCAGTATTGCTCGCGTCGTTTCTCAGTTACCTATTGCGCTTGAATAAGAACATTGGGATTGAAGCTAGCACATGCTTTTTCGCGTTGTTGCGTGGTTACCCGTCGCGCATGGTTACAAACATCAGAATCCGACTATTTAAGCAAGAACGCGCGCGAATTTATTCAGTTGACTCCGAACCGTCATTCCAGCATAGTCAACGCCTGAGCCGTCCGACTCCTAGTGTAGCTACAAGAGAGTGATATAACGCGACATCCCGTTCCACTGTGTTACCAACCAGAGCGTGAGGAAGCTGTTGTCCTGGATGACCTTCCGTCTCTCAGCAGGTTTTCTGAGGAGTGATTAGTTATCTTAGAATATTTCCTCCGATCTACCGAGTTAACAACCGGATTTAGGAAAGGTTCTGAAGACTAAGACGGAACTACCGTGTTTTCAACCGGTTCGAAATTCAGAGGGTTCCTAGAATCGAGGTTTGAATGAAGGAATGGATCTGATCATAGTGGAAGGAGAAGATGGTGTGCTTACGCGCATATTATGTGACGTCATCTGGGATACCAATATCACCAGTATAAGCTGCTAGTCACAGACAGATACCGTTGCCATGAGCGTGCGCAATGAATTCAATCATGTTTATTGAAATTTCTATAAGTTCCTCGATCTGTTTAGAAATAATTCAATTTATATTAACAGGTTCGTATTCCTTCGATTTTACTATTTCATTGATTCTGGAAATTGTGATCTTGAGGTAATTCGCAATCGCAAATAGTAAATACATACGAATTATCATGCATTGCCAATCCCATCTGAATGATCCACTACTGTGTCGATTTGACGTTGCTTCTGCTTCGACATCGACTACAGGAGTATCAATTTTTGCCGTTTTGTTAATCAAATCTTTGCTGCAATTTATATTCTGTGAGAAATTAAGAGTTTGAATTCTTTTTCGATTATTTCTGACTTGATATTCGGAAGATGTTCTGTAGGAATGGCATCTTGTTTCAAATATTTGTGATTTTTTGGAGGTGTATAATTCACAATTGAACCGTACTTTCGCACTTGTTTGGGAACATTTTGCATGGAAATGTTTTGAAGAAATACGTGCTGTAATATAAATGTGATGATAATATGATAGGTGAATACTTTGGAATGAGGTTATAAGGAAAAGGAATATAAGGTTGGTACCATTATTTGAGTTTATATTCTGTCGGCAGCGAGCTCCCATCGTTTCATTAGGTCTCCATTCTTGGAAAAGCAGAAAAATTCAATATCTGTGCCTTTTGTATGTTAGTTGGAATATCCATAACCAGAAACGAAACAAGTAGGCTTTTCGAAATTATTTCATTCAATTTTAGTACTTATATAAAATCTGAAGTTCGAGACATCAATCACGAAAACAAATAATATCAATGACTGTTATATCCCAGCTGACGTAATGCGCAGAACAAGACGAGTTTGAGCTTTCTGTTGAGCACACCATCTTCTCTTTCCACTATGGATCTGATCATTAACTGATACCGGGTATTAGATAGTGACAAGCCAGTGACAGTAAATAACGTATGTCACTTTGTTCCGCGAGTAAACAGGACATAATATAAGGGGTGATCATAGCAGCGCGACGGGTCCGTTTCAACTGTACAGAGTGGAGGTTATAGGGTTTCGTCAATATATTCCATACGGGATGTAATATAGGATATTGTAAATATAGCATATAGAAAGTTATTAATAGTTCTCGTTTCAAGTTCTAATTGTATAGCTTTGAGTATTGTAATAAATCAGATATTCTGATCCCTTTGTTCTCTTTCTCGTTCATTTGTTTTAATTCACTAGAGCAACTTGTTATCCGGGTGGCAACAATCTCATAATCCTAACCTGCACCACTTCTTTTGACATTGACAATTTCACGACCCCTGGATTACACTATCTCCACTGATAGTTGCCCGGTGCAAGTATCCTATCACTATAAAATAGGTGGCGCCCGAGACAAATATTGATTAAACCGTGTAGGAACGTCAAATTACGCACCTCGTTGTAGATAGCTTTACAAGGTGATAAAAAATTGATCAAATCAGACAAAAGTCGCGTATTTTAATCTCCTTCACTATGTCGTTCTCCAAGGTAGAAATCAATCTTTTGTCTATAATTCCATCAACTTTCTATCTCTTCTAACGTTTAGGAAAGAGGAATACTGTCTATATGAAATCAAAGGGATCCTCTGCACAGAAAGGATGATGGACGTTGGTATTTCCCAATTCAAAATAGTGCTTTGAAATTGCTTTTTTACCAGTGACCAGTTGCGAAGAGTTCATTTACACAATTAACAATAATCAGAAATATAGAACTGTATTACCGAAAATAATAATACAATCTCAGGGAATGCTTTCGATCGTGATTCGATAAACAGTTTGAATATCATGATGATGCGATGAAAAGATTCACAGATTTGAAAATCAGAAGAGTTATATGGTAATTTATTCCTTCTAGTACAATTTCGTCATGATCAAGTACCTTTCCATTTCGTAGGTATCTGATCTGTGTTATTAGTTACGTTCAATGTATTTCAATATGTGTTTTAATTTTCTTTATTTGTTTTTGTTTTTTCATACTATATTTTTATCAATGAATGTTCTATTTGTTGCTTTTTCATTATATGTATATTATTGAATATTTAGTTCTGTTTTTGTTTGCATTTGAGGAGACAATATTAGATTCATCATTTATTGAAAAATTGGTGGAATAAAAGAACAGGAGGAGAAATGGAGATACATGCCGCAGGGGCCTCAAGGATCATTGAGCTTAGTGCCCCAAAAATCGTAGATCTGCCACTGCAGAAAGAAGATTACCTACTTCATCTTAATCGACATCAAAGAGTTTGTTTGATATGTGATTTTGTTTTTCTACATGAGCAACACGAATTCAAATTCGATTGACCTTATTCACTCATGTATATTTCCGATGATAGACAAATATCGTACCAATGTTCATGTGTAATGAATTTGTGATTCATTAGAGTCGATGTGGAGTGAGCAATGTGAAGAATTCTCTGGATATTATTATCAGTATAAGTGGATGTTCTACAAGAGCACAGACAAAGGTTCTAGATCATTCAACTATATGGGCGATGAAAGCTCTAACCGCGACAGAGATATAGATTAGATTAGGTCCAAAGTAAGGGTCTATTGTGGCTCAAATCAATCAATATTTCACCAAGTTGATCCAGATCCTAAATGAATCTCATAGGTTCAATTGGTGAATGATCTCTCAGATCTGAGGGCGAACACCTTTTCAGTCCATGTCTAAGCATTATAATATGATGATTGATGACTCAGGCGATAGTGAGCTGTAATTAGGCCTGGTAGAGAGTGTATATAGGTCATCCCTGCTGTAGTCTAGCATTTGTTGGTGATATTCTTCGGAGGACGTATGGAATTCTTCGACTCTTCTTGCACTTAAAGTGTTCAGTGTATGTTTGGCAAAACCATAGATAATGAGATGCCAATAGCAGGTTCTGGTTCGATGAAACCACTATCGGCATCCTTTCTTGCAAGAAAATATACCATTTCATTTCCTTCCATACCAGAGGACAAGGAATCCAGGCCAGAGACAATTCGTCTTTTTTTGCAGTTGAATAACAATTTAGATCGGTACGATAAGTGATTTCAGAGCTGCTTGGCTATCCGATAATATCACAATTGTTTAATGAGTGGGGCTGAATTCCTCTGATCCCACCACACATGAATCTAAGGAGTGAATTTTCGCCTGAGATACGGTTGCATAGGATCGTAGGCAAGTTTAAATGTCTGTCCTAGGTCTGCCGCTTATTACACCCGTACCAGAGCCTGGACGTCTCTTTGAATCATATGTGAACCATCATATATCTGCTCTTAGTAGTGCATCCTTTCAAAAGAACAAGTCATCTCTCTTAGGAATTCCGACCTTTTTCTTTATAGATACTTTCACGGAAAATTTTCTTCAGAAATCTCTGTTATCATTCCACGACAAGCCATACTAGCCAGACGCACTCGACAACCGCAGTCAGCACATCCTTCCGTTGTCAACCTCGAAATATGTCGAGCAGTTCTAGATCAACACTCGTTTATTTAACGGGAATGCTCTGGAATTCATTGACTAAGGAAGTAGGTATTTCCAAGAACTTATGATCTCCAGAAGTTCAAAAAAAAACCCAACACCTACCTCCTCTCCCTATCCTCCCTATGTACCCACAATATTCTTCGAACATAATAGGGACTCCCTTTCGTGCGCATCAAGCGATAAAAAAATTAGGCTCATTAGGTTACTCTTTTAGTTATGTCAGCGGTCATTTCAAGGGTGCAGTGACTTTCCGTGTCTGCCAGTAGTCTGCTACGCTCTGTATAAGCCTGACTCGTGCAATTCGCGATATGCACAATTCAGTGTGCTCTCAAGTCTCTCTCCAGGTGAAGAGAAATCGGGTCTAGAAAGATTTCCATAGCTGCTGACGGCGTGGAGCTGATTGCCCCAGTGATCGTCAGACAAACCGGTCTTTGTACTAGAGTGGAATGTTCTGAAGAACTTTGCCTACGCCGTTCGCTGTGAGGCTTTCGGCTACCAAGAAATATCCCAATGTGTGGTTATTGGCCTAAATATCATCACATGATATATCGAGTGGATTTGTTTGGACATTCAGCCCCAAGATTTTCCAGAAATCCTTCGTGTTCAATCGACAGTAGAGTGATTCTGATTGAAGGCAGCAGTGCTTGAGTATTCATTTACAGTCACGATTTTGCTGGCAGAATATCAGGTCGAATCATATTCGTCAGAATGATTGCTGACGTGAACAATCTCGTCATTCAATGGGATTATTTGATTGTAGAGACATCAGAGCAATCAGTTTCCTGAAGGTTATGAGTATTTTCTTTCATCGTGTTTTTGCTTTCACATGAATGTTGGTTCAATTACAGGGTTCCGCAGGAGAACCTGAAGGTTCTTCCAATCGTGGTAGTGGTCAGCAGGATGGTCGGACAGGAAAGAATTTGGTGTCAACCTCCTCTCCAGATGTAAAAATTCAGTTACAATGAAGGGTTGGACAGCTGATCATGTTACGTTCACTTTGTAGGTTTTTCTCAGAAATCATGATTCTGTGAGGATTCTTTGTAGACGTTGTAATTCTCCTCCCGCGGACGGATTCCATCATAGGACACATTTTTTTTGTACGTATGGAACTTTTGAAAAACAGTTTTATTTTTACGTGGGAATGATCTGGGATCATCTCCTCCCGAATTCTTCTTAGGAGGGTTTGGTTCCAACAATATATGACTACTGCCTACATGCCGCGTTTCTCAATGAAGTTGCTGAGAACACATTCTTCTGGAAAGATAATCTCGCTCGGTAGCAACATTTCATGGCCAGCACGTTTCCAAATCTTCATCCTAATGATTTTTATCTATCGGGCGTCTCGCTCTGTGGCGGCTCTTTGTGGTCAGCACGTGATTTCCATCTATCGGGCTATCTGGAAGGGAACTTATATCTCAATGAGCTTCAAACTGCAAGACAATATCGAGAGATTAATTCGTGCTATTCCTCGACAAACTTTGGAGGAGACAGTGATGACAAACTTCACACAAAACGACTTCAGGAGTGCCAGAAAAACGGAGATCGTCATTTAAGTGATGCCATTTTCGATACATGATGTTTTTTCAACTTTATGACGTGTTTCATAAAATTCCAATGTTCTTCTTCTGAATAAAATCATCAATTTGAAATATCCCATATTTTCATTGATATATCCTATTTCAAGAACCGTCAGGTTTCACCACCAAACACTGTATAACAAAAGGAGCACAGAGAGTGATGAAAGTGTTTCCTTATGACAGGTGCGTCAGTTCCTCCTGCTATCGGAAGATAGTTATTCATTATACGAGGGAAAAAATTGTAGATTTCTGCTCGAGATTGTGTTGACTCCTGACGCGTAGTGGAGAGAGACAAAAAACCGTTAGCTGAAAGCTTATATTTTTCCCGTGTATAATACACTATTTTTTCCGTCACACGAAAAAGGAATGATTCGTATCGAGAAGATATTACATTACATTGAAATCAGAAAATTATCAACGTGAAATTTGAAGTTTCAAACAGGAATTGAAGACACTGGTGCGAAAATGGGACAGCTCCACTTTTCCACGATTTTCACTGTTATAATGAGAGCCAGTGACAAACAGGTGCTCTATCAATTGGTGCAAAAACGAGACGAGTTCTTTGATTCCTTTTGATGATATACGAGATATATTTATATCTCCTTCATCGAGTCGGTGCAAGATAGAAGCAGCTCCGGATCTGCCTCGTTCTGCCGTTTCGATGCAACATTGACATAATTTACCATCGCTATACCATTACCGGTATTGAAGTCCTTCAAAATGATACAAAGCTGACTTGATGAAAAAGGAGAAGAGAATGCGAGAAAGGATGGTCTCTCCTCAAGAATGGCTTTTCTTCATCAAAAATACATGTCGATCATTCGAAATTTCAATGGCCATTTCAGTAAATGTTTCTAAGAATCTAAGCGAAGTTAACAAACAGAAAATAGAATTTGTATTCTCTGCCTAGCAAGTTAGACATACACTGGGAACGGTGTCGAATGCAGCAGCTCTGAAAGTGCCTATTACAAGGCCCCTATATACTCTTTATAAAGCTGGAGCATAAAGCTGACTCTTCCTAATCTTGAGACACGTCTATCTACTCTGCGTCATTACCTCTCAAGCATCCTGAGTATCTCGATGGGGAAGAACTAGCAACTATATAAATACGTATCGCCATAGTGTATGTGGTTTCACGACAGGCTTGAGTGCCAAGGAAAAAACAGTTCAACCAGTCTTCACAGATGTTCAAATGTATTACTATAGATGATTTTGTAACTCTTTTTCATTTATTCGAAAAATTTATATTCGATAACATTATATATTCTCAACTGAACTAGAACATGATGTTCACAGAAAATCGGCATGATGAATATTTTTCGAAATAAACAGTGATTATCTCCTCCTGGCAAATTACTTAAATGGAGCTGCCTTATTTTTGCACCGCGGTGTCTTCAATTACACCTGCGTTGCAGACATCTTTATCATTCTTTCGAAGTAATCAAATATCTGTCAGTTTGATTATGTGATTTGATTTTAAAAAATTGCGGTTGTTTAGTGATTTACGTAACCGCGAAGTGGAATGAAAGATAAAAAGGACTTGCAATTCTTTCTCGGAGACGGTGTTATTGGCTTATTTTCCAGAACTAGCACAATGAAAGCCATCAAGAGTGTTTATATATATACAGGGTGTATCTGAATAACACCATTAAAAAAGCAATTCCTTGTGATATCTCATAATGACCTATACCTAGTATATAAGCAGCACACTAGAATAGGATATTTAGTTTTAATCTTCTCCTGAAGATGCTAACATAGTTAGCGAAACACGTGTCGAGGCGTTAATAAATCGGTTTGGTTAGTGGTAAAACAGTGTAGTGTAATGAAATAAAGTTCATATGAAATTGTGTCCTAACTTGCTTCGTTTTCGAGATACAGGGTATCAATATTTCCATGAAAAATTGTTTTTTCATTTATTACTCATTTGTCTCTCCATCAATTTGAATTAAACGTTGTGATTTTGTTAATAGTAATACGGAGCTTCTTCTGGTGCGATTAGATTCGGAATAATATTCCCAGTGGCGTCACAGTGGGTAAATTTATCGATATTTATTGTGAATTTCATTGTACGCCACGGGTTTCATATTTTTGTATATTGAAATAACAATTTTTCATCCTTTGGGTGATTTTTGTATCTAGATTATTTTTTGAGGAAACAATGAAAATTCGATTTGACTCCAAATTTCACTGTATGTGTTTTCAAGACTTCCATTATTGAGATAACTCAATAACCCCAATCACAATCATTTTGAAATTTAAGGGGTTCCTCAGTCTCCAACCATACTGAATTTTGGCACCATGAAAGCTTATGTATAAAAACAATTGATACCTCCAACTACAACATTCTGTATCTCAAAAACGGAACAAGTTAGGACAAATGTTCATGTGAACTTTATCCGCTAGAATATCACAAGGAATCACCTCTTGAATTTTTTCGGTGTTATTTAGATACACCTTGTATATCCGGAAAAAAGTACTCACTTTCTTGCCGTGGGAAAAAAGTGATTTATGAAAAGTGACATTGTATAACCTGTCAACAGAGATGAAAAATCAAGCTTTTTTCCCGTCACAAAAAAATAGTTATTTATTATACAAGTGAAAAAAGTTGTAGATTTTAGCTCCAGGTTGTGTTGTCTCCCGACGCGTAGCGGAGGGAGACAAAAAACCAACAGAGAAGAAATGCTAAACTTTTTTCCTGTCACAAAAAAATACCTTTGGTCTTAGTGACTGTCTGGTTGGAATATCCTCTTCATCTTCGTCGAGCTCTTGTCTAACGACGGGCCTTATTTGTTTCGCAATAGGCCTGTTTTGGATATTTGGTCTCAATATGGGCAAGGGAGCCGGCCTGGGTGCTTCTACGGCTTTCTCTCTGATTTGATCTCTGGCGATTGGAATCGGCCTGAACGGTTGAGGGGAGGGTCTCAAGGTTGGTTGTTCTTCTTCTTCTTCCGCGTGCCTGAAATCGAAAGAAATGTGGAATAATATTCGGGAATGGGCTGATTGTCGATCAACAGATACGGAGAATAGCAAATAACGACAAATAAGTTCAGAGTATTTTTATTATCGCTTGGAGCGCACGAAAGAAAATCCCTATAATGTTCAACAAACATCGTGCGTTCCTGGGAAGGATAGGGACAGGAGGTAGTAGGTAGGAGGTAGGAGGTAGTTTTTTCGAACTTCTGGAGATTATATGTTGTTGGGAATACTTCCTCAGGCAATAAATTCCAGAGCCTAGCCGTTCTATGGATGAAGGAGTTTTGATAAAGTGCTGTTCGACATCTTTCGAGGTTGACTACGAAAGGATGTGCTGACTGGGCTTGTCTAGTTCTGACTGGTATTGCTAGTGGAGGGATGATAGCAGAGATTTCCGAAGAACATTTCCCGTGGAAGCATCGAGAGAAAAGTGAAAGGTCGCCGACCATTCTACGGTGTTCCAATGATGTCAAATAGTAAGTGAGTGTGGCGTCACCCACCAGGCGAATGGCTCTTCTCTGGGTGAAATCTAAGAGCATCAGCGTATGGTTTGGTGCTGAAATCCATATGTGGGAACAGTATTCTAGAACAGGCCGTATCTGCGCTTTGAAGATCATGAGGAGCTGTTGAGGTTGAGGTGTAAAGTAGCCTGCGCCGTGAGTTCTTAGTTTCCTGGGAAGAAATGAGAATTCTGGAAGAGAACGCAGTATGGGGGGTACTATAATCTGCAAAGCTGTGGATGGGGCAAGTTGTTACTCCCAACAGATCATTGATATGAAGAAGGAATAATGTTGGTGCTAAAATTGATCCTTGGGGAACGCCGGAATTGATGCCAATGATATCAGACGATACACCGTCCACCACCACGTGAAACGATCTGCCTGAAAGAAAACTTGATAAAAGATGGCATAGCTGAGATGGTAAGCCGTATGATGGTAGTTTGTGGGGGAGTCCTTCGTGCCAAATACGGTCGAATGCTCTCGATACCCAACGCGACAGTTAGAGATTCTCCGTGTTTTTCTAATGAAGCTTGCCATAAATGGGTGACGTAGGCAAGTAGATTTCGAGTAGATCTTCGGTTGCGATCTCATGATTATTATTATTATTATCTCCAGTCTATTGAAGCGCACGATAGGATATACCTTTAATGTTCGGAGAACATCGTGCAAACCTAGGGAGGATAGGAAGAGGAGGTAGGGATTGGAATATTTTTTGACTTTTGGAGATTGAAAATTTTTGGACATACTTTTTTGGCAAATAGTTCCAAGGCTTTGCCTTTCTACAGACAAACGAGTTTTGGTAAATAGTTGTTCGACATATCTCAAAATTGCCTGACTGCGGGCTTGTCGAGCTCGTCTGACTAGTAGGTATTACTAGTGTTGGAATGATAGCAGAGATGTCTGAATAACATTTACCGTGAAAATCGCCAACTTTCCTACGGTATTCCAATCTTGTCAAAGAATTAGTTAGTGTGTCATCACCCACCAGACGAATGGCTCTTCTCTACTACCAATCTGAGAGCATCAGCGTGCCGAACACGGTCGAATGCTTTCGATATATCTAGCGCTACAGCTGAAGATTTGCCATATTTTCCTAATGAAGCTTGCCATATAGGTATAGATTTCTTTTTTCATTTTTATTTTCTGGTTCCCACGAAAAGATATATCCTGTAATGTTCAGAGAATATCGTGAGAACCAAGGATAATGAGGTAGGAATTGGTGTTCTTCTTGAATTTCTGGAGGATATATGCCTCGGAGAACACCTCCCTTGGTAATTTGTTCCAGAGCCTCGCTGCTCGTTGGATGAACGAGTCTTCGGAAAGTGATGTTCTGCAGGTCTTCAAAGTGACCACGAAGGGGTGCGAAGCCTCAGCTCGACGGTGTTCCAGAGAAGTGAGTGAGTTTGTGAGCGAGGCATCGCCCACGAGACGAACTGCCCTTTTTTGGACAGAATCCAGCAGTTTCCAGGGTATTTTTGGGTGCTGCAGTCCAAATATGGGAACAGCATCCCAGGACAGATCGAATCTGTGCCTTATAGATCATAAGCAGCTGACTGGAAGTGAAATAGCTCCTGGCCCGAAACAGAAAAGCAAGTTTTTGGGAAGCATTTTAGCAATTCATCTCACGTGATTTTCCCAAGAAAGGTTATTGCTGATAGTAATACCGAGCATCGAAATGGTCTGGTCAAAGGTATGGTTATTCCTGACAAGCTTATGTTGGACACAGTGAGATCGGCTTCTTCAAATTAATTTTAAGCAATAAGTAATACAGAACATTCACGAACTAATTCAACAATATTATATTACTCAACTGTTAGTTACTGAACTTCAATAAGAATAATGAGATTTCACCAAAAACTGGTAGGCTACTATTTGCAATTGATGGAAATAATTCATTTTCCTAGTGCATATCTTCCCGACCCTGTCCGCTAGACCCCAATCATCATACCATTATTGTGGAATCACGGAATCACCTAATTTTTATTGATCTAAGAATAGAAAATAAAATATTGTCGATGACGTCATTACATTGATAATTATCACTGTGTGTAATGCAATTTCGTAGTGAAATGTAGAATATTGAAATCAAAAATAGACGTGTTTACGATTTTCTTGAGAAGGCTTTCAGCTCGGCTTCAGTTTATTATTGGAAATATCGAATTTATTCCATACTTCATGAACACACAGTGTTTATAATGTTCTCACAAATAATAAACTTCATTGTCTCAGAAAACTTGAAACAATAATATTGATTTCAGATTTTGAGTACGTATATACTACCAAGGATACTACTCCTGAATGCCGTTAATATCAAACTAATTCAACCTCGTTTCCACGCTTGCCGATACATTATATTGGAGCGAGCTATATGAAAATAATCACTGTTACCAAACTATACAAACTAGGAGAAAACTATTTGATTCGAAAACTCTCATCATATGTGGACTCCACTTTATTCGTTATGTACAAATTTTCAAAAATAAAAAAGTTTATCGATCGATGCAAATACTAATACAATCATATAATTTCAATTGTATGGTATGCTTGCCTCATTTTTAGAAAACCGAAATAGCAAATTATGCACAATCCATGGCAGTGTTGAGAGCGCTACTGTGTTACCTTCAATCTACAGAAAAAAACACTTCTACCAAAAAACAACATATTTTTTGAAGGTGATTTTCTTCTGTTTTTTCTAGTTTGAAAAGTTCCAGACCACTAAAAATTGAGGTGAAATGCGATTTTATATTCCTTGATATGCTCAACAAAACGTACCATGTCTGACCTGGTTGTATGCAAAAAAATATAACGAGATACCGTAAAACGTGGTTACATTGCAAGAAATATTGAGGTTTTTCGCGAATAATTATTAAACGGTGAATGATATGTATTCGCCTATGAAGTATGTTCAATTTTGACTATTTCTTCATGCGACTTATAGATTTAATCTGAAGTAGATATGGAGAGAGTATTTTATTTTTGAATTTTGAAATCGGCAAAGTATCCACACAACTTATTTGCCATGTGATGTGAAGTACATATGAAAATTCATTTTTGGCAAAGTTCATTCTTCAGATAAGATATACTTCGCCATCCACCCATCAGTATATAACAGGGGCTTCACAACCAGAAAGAAATAAACACAGATTGGTTTTTGATAAAAATGCGTTTTTCTACAAACGTCAAAAGATGACAAGGTTCGCGCATTGATAACAAATTGCGAAGTGACACTTTTTTTCAGTTCCCTACGTTACCATGATACCTAGCACAAAACAATGTAAGTAAAACAGTGCGCGAAGTACCTACTTCGCGCATTGTTATGTAAAATATATGAGATATTTATATTTCAACTTTATGGTCTTCAATCGAGCAAACATCCATGAACTCATTCATTTCTGAATGTCCAACAATAACTTTGTTTTATCTTTTGGAGCGCACGAAAGGAAATTCCAATTATGTTCGTGGAACATCGTGCGTACCTAGGGAGGATAGGGGGAGGCCTTTCAAGCCAGTTCCACACTATTTTTTATATCAAGTTAAGCATATTTCTACTTCACTATATTTTTTGACGTTTGTAGAAAAAATTTTGTTTGCTACTCGAGCGCGAAATACTTTGGTCATCTCGACTATTTTTTTCACTTCGTGGTCGGCCGTACAGATCTGTCTATAAACCGGTCACTTTTTCCTTCGTATTTTTTGCCAGATCAAATCCAGCGTACAATGGAAGGAAAAAGAGGAATATATAGAAATAGGAATTGTCATGAAAAGAAAAAGGATGAAGCAAATAAATGCCAAGGCATTAATGCGCGAATTTATGAATATGAATGTTTTTAGACAATGATAAGGCAACTCTTATTAGAAAGGTGCAATGAATGATTTCTAATCAATAACTTCAATTAGAAAACAACGAATGTGAAGACGGAGCATGCAAAGTAACCCCGTTTTACGATAATATGCTCTCGAAATCACTCCACTAATTGGAGAGTCGCAACTCCGTCGATGCGCCGACCCAGACCCCAACTTTCGGTTGAAAAAAATAATCAGAATCTTGTTCAAGAAGAAGATTGGCAATGAAGTGCAATGATCTTATCTTGCGAAAATAGGGTCACTCCCCAGACCCCAATGGCGGCATACGAACCGGAAGTGGCAATTTTTTAGTATTATAGACGATAATCTAAGAATGTATACATTTCTGGCGAAACAATAAATTCGGATCCATCAATCAATTTCCCTCAGACTTATAAAACATTGCGGGCCAACAGTCTATCAATGTAATCCAGTAACTTTATACATCACAGTATGCGTCAAATCCCGTAGTTCTGATTTTTCGCAGACTTGTTTATGATGTTGACCTAATGAATAATCCAAGTTTGTGACCTTGAGCGCCGAATTCAACTTTGGCAAAAATCCAAAAAACTGCGAAAAAATCGTTTTTTCTACAAACGTCAAAAAATGACAAGGTTCGCGCATTGATAACAAATTGCGAAGTGACACTTTTTTTCAGTTTCCTACGTTACCATTATTCCTTGCACAAAACAATGCGCGAAGTAAAACATTGTTATGTAAAATATATGAGATATTTATATTTCAACTTTATGGTCCTCAATCGAGCAGACATCCACAAAATCATTTATTTCTGAATGTTCAGTAATAACTTTGTTATTTCTCTTGGAGCGCATGAAAGGAAATTCCTATTATGTTCGTGGAACATCGTGCGTACCTAGGGAGGATAGGGGGAGACCTTTCAAGCCAGTTCAACACTATTTTTTATATCAAGTGGAGCATATTTTTCCTTTAGAACTATATTTTTTTACGTTTGTAGAAAAAATTTTGTTTGTAACTCGAGCGCGAAATACTTTGGTCATCTCGACTATTTTTTCAACTCGGCTACGCCTCGTTAAAAAAATCAGATCTCGATCACCAAAGTAGCATTTCGCGCTCTAGATACAAAAATAACTATTTTTTTAGTTTTTGGCGATCATAACCCTAAAGGACTAGTTTTTGGAAAAAACTCTTTCAGAACGTTTTTAAAGTAGACCGAATTTGCTACAATATGATTGTCTCTATAGACTCATTAGTTTCCGATATTGAGCCTTTCAAAGTTTATAATGTTTTTCTAACTTCGCAATTTTTCGCAATCCTGTCGTTCTGATTGAATTTTGAACCTGATTATACAATCAAAGCCCTGTACTTCCATGATGAGATGATAAGAAAGAAAATGAGAAGTGTGACCCAGGATGTTCAAGCTGAGCTACGAATAATGAAATAAAAGAGATGAGTACAACAAAAGGTAATGAGTGTATATGTTAGGAAATGAAGTAATTTTAAAGATCAAAAAATGACATTAATTTAACCCTCTTGGAAGGTCCCGGTTGAGGTTCGTCTGGATCTAGATCGACGTATTGGGATGACATATCTCCATCAGGGGATGGTGATGAATCGTCGACGTCTTTTGCCCACAAGTCATCCTCCATTTCAACATCGGACAGATCGTCGCCTTCTGGGATATCTACTACCACAACATCAGGTACATTGTCCCACTGCAGTGCCTGCAGACTGATGAGCATTCAAATCCTGACTTCCTGCAGCTGCACGCGTTTCTACAACCCTTCGTGCAGCCGCAAGTAATCATCCGCAAGAGATGTTGTGGGGCTGCATCTCTGCTCATCATTTTGGGATTGCGGCCTCGTGGCGTGACTTGGTGGATTTTGGAAACCTTTTAGAGTATTATTCTATTCAGTTTTAGTTAGATTCATTGTGAATAATGAAAACTAAATATGATTTTGAAGGAAAAATACGGGTAACGTGTATTGTGGTGGATAGTGGAAGCCGTGCAGATCGGGAAAATTTGCTTAGTTTTTTCACATTCCCACTGTGATTCTGTGAAAACCATATGCATTATATATATATATAAGAAGAGAAATGTGGAAAGCAGCCATCAAGAGATAGGATCTAACAACAGAATCAATCATGAGAAACCAAAGGATGTGTAGCAGGTACCTGACAGAAAACCAATACTTATTATATTATTATGTGATGGCCCTACAACCAGACGCCATCTTGCCAGCTAAAAAGTCCCGTGGTTTAGGTTGCCTAGAAAGTTTGAAAACGTGCTACAGGTGGGTCGTATTCGTGACTTCACACGAACAGTACTAGCACACTCCGTCGGAGGTAATTGAAACTTCATCCCGCTAGAGTATATTCGAGTAACGGCTAAAACATTGCAAAAAATTGCGAAGTTCGAAAAAAATTATAAACTTTGAAAGGCTTAATCTCGAAAACTATTGGATCTACAGAGACAGTTTTCATATCATATTGTAGCATATTTGATCTGCTTTAAAATCGTCCTGAGAGATTTTTTTTTCAAAAACTAGTACTTCAGGGTTATAATCGCCAAAATTTTTAAAAAATTACGATTTTTTCGCGGTTTTTTCGATTTTTGACAAAGTTGCGTTTGGTGCTCGAGGTCACAAACTTGGATTATTCATAAGGCCTACATCATGAACAAGTATGCAAAAAATCAGAACTACCGGATTTGACGCATACTATCCCCATATGTTCAGGCGACAAAGTTACTGGACTACTGTTGATGGGTTTGATTGTGTTACAAAACTAACTCACCTGACAGATGATGCAAGATTGCTCAGCTTATTCACCTCCGCATCGAATGACGAGATAGACGGAGGGTAGTTTTCCTCCTCCTCCTCGACGACTGGCCTGATCTCCCTCACTCCCTCCCTCTGCGCGAGGGGAACAGGTCTCCTCGCCCTCGTGGGGATGAAGTCGGCTGCGTTGATCCTCTGTTGTCTGGGGGGGGCCGGGCGGGGGCCTTGAAGGGGGACAGCCCCTGGGATTTGAAGCCTCGGGGGGTACTGGGCGAAAGAGGAGTGGAGAGAGAGCTGAAAATTATTTCATTTTATACCGTCTTTTGAAACATGCCTTAAGGTGTCTACAACTATAAAGTTAATCATCAATTGCTTACTCGATTTCCAACAGATAATGTCAGTTGGTGCTGTTGTTAGTCGCGTTCTTTTGTGATTCTCTCGTGTATGAATTTTGTGCATAGTGGAAGGAGAAGATGGTGTGCTTACCATGGTGAAATCGTGCATACGGGCATATCATGTGACGTCATCTGGGATACCAATGACAGCTGCTAGTCAAAGACAGACACAGTTTCCATAGGCGTGCGCTATGAATTCAATTGAGTTTATTGAAATATCAATGAGTTTCTCGATCTGTCTAGAAATAATTCCATTCATATAAATAGGTACCTATTCCTTCGATTTTACTTTTTCATTGATACTGGGATTTGTTATCTTGCGGTGAATATCAATTGCAAATAGCAAATACAAACGAATTATTATGTATTGCCAATCCCATCCGATGATCCGCCATTGTGTCAATTCTGACAGATTCAAATTCAGAAGTTGATATTTGATAATGCTTCTGCTTTGACTTCGACAACAACAGAGAGTATATTTTTTTGCCGATTTGTTATTCAAATCCTTGCTGCTATTTATAATATCTGAGAAATTAGGTCTTTTGAATTGATTTTCATTCATTTCCAACTCAATATTCGACGGAAGATGTTCTGTAGGAATGGCTTCTTGTTTCAAATATTTGTATATTTGTGGTTTTTTGGAGGTGTGTGGAGGCACCAACAACTTTACATTCGAGCTTGTACGAAAAAGTTTTGCATGGAAATATTGCGAACAGATACGTGCTCGAATAGGTATGATAGGTAAATATACTTTGGAATGAGGATATGAAGAATATAAGGTAGGCACCATGATTTGAATTAGTTTATTTTCGTTCGGCAGCAAGCTTCCACTCATCTTTTTACTATTTCATTCAATTTTCGACCTTACATATTTGAATTAAGACATCGATCACGAAAACAAATAATAACAATGACAGTTATATCCCAGTTGACTTCATACGCAGAACAAGACGTTTTCAAACTTTCTGTTGAGCACACCATCTTCTCCTTCCATTATGATTATGTGGGAAGGAATAAAACGGCAAACAATGAAGAATGACATCGATATTATAACGACCGTGTAACAATCACATACAATCTAAATGACATAATAATCATCAATAAAAATCATCAAAGTTTAGATTATAGCAATTCTTGGATTTTTGTATTGGATCCATTGGAATAAAGATATATATTGATTAATAATGTTGGTACGTGGGCTGTGCGGTAGGTACGTAGATGTATTTCTACTCTGATTGATCAACAATCATTCCTATAAATTGGTGTTATTCGATATTATCTAAATTTTGATAGTACCTATTAATAGAAAATATTGAAGTGATTCATGCAGTGAGCCCCAAATTGAATATGAAAATGGAAAGTGCATTGAAACTTTTATTTGTTGGAGAAATCATGGATTCGTAAGATGACAAGATCAAATCCAGGATGATGAATGTTTCATACTGACCTTCTTCAGAATGTGTGATGCAGAAGTCCCTAAAAAGGGAATTTTGTATGATATTCTAATTCCAAGAATCAATACAAGACCTTCCAGAGCCATGAGTTATTTATGCACATTTATCCTCTTTTATTAGCTCATTTTTTCCATTAGTGAAACAACTATTCCATATTCCGTATCTACTATTTTTTGTCAAAGTTTTCAATTACAACTAAATTGATATGATGTTTGTCAACCCCTTTTTGTCAAATATTCCAAACATTCCACCACACATTCGATGTTCTGAGACCGAATGGCCAGTGGCAACAGGATGATAAGAAATTCCACAGAATAAAGTCGATTAAACGGTGATTCTGTCCCACTGGTGACACTATAGCAATGTCAATAAACAACCGTTCATATGTCAAATAGGAATAGATAAGTACGCGTGCTTTCAAAGCACAGCATAATATTACTGTTCCTTGAATTCTAATGACCCACCCTACATATGATTCTCATAATTTTATTCACCTTTGAGCACCATATACAGAGTGTCCCAGAATCAGCCTGCCATACTTCAGTAGCAGATTCTTCGACCAAATATAGGCTCCTTTAAGGGGGCTCCTGAAGATGATATTTCCTGAATATTTCCGAAACGCCATGTGGTAAAATGATGCAGTCCAGTACAAAAACTAAACATCGTATTCTCAATGCAGTGAAATCCCGGGTCCTTCCCCCTAGTATACACTAAGATGACACCCCTATTCAGTTTCAATCTTCTCCTGAATATGCTAACATAGTTAGCAAAACACGTATTAGGGCGTATAAAAAATCGGCTTGTTAAGTGGTGAAACAGTTAAGTGGATAATTTCATGGCCAACGACAGAGCTGAAAGAGGTCCTCCAGTGCCTTTATTTTTTCTGTATATTAGCCTAGTTGATTCTCTTTGCCAATAAATAGTTTCATTAACACTGTACACTTCAATTTCACAGTATTCGGAATTCGGAACAAATTATTCTTTGACATGTTTTCAATGAATTATCTACACCATCTTAGAGTGCACGAAAGGAAACTCCTATAATGTTCTAAGAAAATTTTATAAATTTATTTTGAACCAATTAGATCGAAGGCTCCTTTTTGATTACGGTGCTCATAGCAACGGGTGACTGTCGTAGGTAATATCCCGAGACCATGACAAATAGCCGACTATCATTTTCTTCATAATTCTATCGAGGGTACCTTATATTTTGACAATTTGATGAGACCATATGAACAGCAATAATCTGAATAACTCCCGAGAGCTTTAGCTCGAGGGAGTTTTTCTATGATTATTTATGTTCATATTGTCGAATTGAATTGTCCCAAAATACAAGTTACTCGAAATGAATTCAAGGAAATGATAATCTCAATTTGTCATGGTCGAGTGATATTCAGGAAGATTATTTCATGAACAGTGTGAAAATACTGGTATATATGAGTTTTATTCAAGTTACAATTCTGCAGATACTATTTGAATAAAAATTCTTCTGAAGGCCGTCTGGGGTATTCTCATCATATCTACGTACAATTGTAATCAATTCATCTAAAATTAAAAAAAAGAAAAGAAAATTAACGCTATTGATAGCGTTAATATGTTTTGATTAGAGTTTCTGTACTTTCCTTTCTTGTTTGAGAAAAATATGCATTATGCGCAACCCTGGCAACTTTGAATTCGATATATTCGAATGGATATGTCTTACGTTTATGTTCATTGGAGTAACCTTTCTGTATATAGTTTTCCATATCAATTTTAACTGTGTATTTCTAATATTCCTCGCCATTCTCCTTACCCAATCTTTTAGGATTTGAGCAATCACGAGAGGTGGGGTAGTCGCAAAAAATTCATTGTTTTTCTGCTGGCAAAAAAAACATGAATTGTTCTAGAAGGACTCTTTTCTCTCCTTGTTATTTTCTGATATCGATTCGCTTACATAATTTCGAATTTCCGTAGTGAAAGTTGACCTAAAACGAGATATTTAAATTTTTGAGTGACTGATAGGTATTATGTGAAAGTTTGAAAAACATAGCACTCTTATAGGTGAATGTCTGTGATGTAGCAAAGTTTTGTTTTAGTGCTGGCTGTGAACCGATCTGTGGAATTCACCGTGCATTGCATTATTGCAATGAAAAAAGTATTCTCTATACACACTTTTCACGGCCTAAAATTGGTTTATTTCAAAAACAAAATGATCGATGAGATTCTGAATCAAAATATCTGGGTTTCTGTGAGGGAAGTTTTATTGACAATTCTCATCATAACTCCGAAGGAAGGGTAAATATAAGTATTCAACTTCTCATTTCTTAATAAATTCGTCAGTATGCATATAGATGATATTTCTCCGAAAAAATCAATGAGTAATGTCAAAAAACTTCCACAGATACCCAAATATTTCAATTCAGAGACTAAACGTATTTTCTTGTTTTTTTGAAAACAATAACTTTGGATCATGAAAAGTGAGTGTGGATAGGATATTTATTTTCATTGCAGTAATTCAAAGCACGGTTTTATAATGCATACCATCGAATAATGTTGATTAGATAACCTTATTACCACTGTTTGATGAATATACTAGAGTAGAAAAATATTGGGATAGCTGATGAAAATGAGACGTATTACTGCGTTACCTCAAGATGGTTGTGCCAGTAATAAAAATATGCTGTTTTATGTCGATAGTCTGATAACCACTGTAGAGTGGAGAGTTACTGCAACATTTCATGGGAATAATTCCTGTTCGACATTCTGTGTTATCATAGAAACTAGAAAAAGTAGTAGTTATTCAGCAGCGGTGTTTTTATACAAGTTTGCATATTGAACAAGCTGCCATAACTACAAGTCACCTGAAAATTCACTTCATCTATGGTAGCAAATGAACACATCTGTCCCCTATTTATTGCAGATATCGTAATAACGGTTATCAGATTTCCAATTATGATAACTCAAGTTTTCTCTCAGTTTATGCTGGTGAACAGAATAGCCACTCATATTGTTTGTTTACCTAAATAGCCACTGATATCGCATATCATGTGACTTCAATCATGACATTTCATAGGTCCAGCCGGGTGTGAATGAAATTATCGCGAAAATAAATTTTGATAACTGCATTCAGTGCTATTATCAATCACTATGACAACACGATCGACTTTGGCAACTTCAAATTATTTTCAGCCGAACATCCTTCGGACATTGTTAAATGCCTCATAGTTCAATGACAAATTTCTCAAGCTCGTCGCTCGTCATAAAATTGTCTTGTCTATTAGCAATGTCCTAGGGATATTACTACTAATAATTTTGTTCGTTTCTATTGACTTAATGGAATTAATGGGTAATAATTATTATTCCGTCAAAAATGAAGCGCATCAGATCTATTGGCAAAAATCACTCAGTTTCATTTGAAACTATGTAGACACGTAATATCAGATGTTGTGGTTGAAAACGAATTAAT